TTTATAAAATAAATGATAAAAACTTCATTAATTAAACTAAGTAATTAGTAAAAAAAAATGTAGCTAAAAACTACTTTTAATTTACGTAAGTGGATTTTATTGTAATCTTATGATAATATCTATTAATAATATGCATAACATTTTGTTTTTATTTTACGCAGAACTGTGAATGTTATATTATTTCTAAAGTATTAGAGAACTCACACAGTTTTTAATTTAAAAGTAACAGATGTCTATAAATAGATAACAAGCAATTCAGTTTAACACTATAATTCTTTATAAGAATGTTATTGTTATTTAATTGTTTGAAATTTCTTTAAATTAAGTGACTCGAAATATTGCGTACAGTTTACGCAATTTTAATTTGTATACCTAAAATATTGTGCAAAATATTTTGAGTAAACGAACATTCTCGAAAAATTACACACAACTAGAACTACACGCGAAATTTATAGCGTCGCACCCATAAAAACGGGGATTAAAAATAAATCGCTCGAATAAATTGCACCTCTGAAATTAAAACACTCCCTCGTGCGACACGCGGTACTTTGGTCGACAGTGGGTGTGACGTTGATGCCAGTCACAAGCGATAGCGGTTTAGCTGGCTCGTATAGTAGAAGTACTAGTTTTTCACCTATTTCTACCGTTAAAAAATAATGTGTACATTTTTATATGAACAATATTAAGGACGGTACAATTTTAAAACATTGGAAAATTGACAAATTAGTATTTAGATAAATAATTCACATTTTAAAGTTACATTAATTTAATCTGTTATGGTTTAAAGAAAAATAAAGTTAAATTTAAATTTTTTAAACAGTATATTACTCATTATTGAGTCTATTGTAATTCATGATTAAATTAAAAGCTAATAAGTTTATAGTCTGTAATTCTGTAATTCAATTATCATTTACTTTAAAATCTATGTATTACATTTATAGATATTATTAGCGTTTCGCTTGTAACTTAGACCATGCCAGTCGCAGGGTATAGGGGTGTACCCTACGATTGTGCATTGTTCTTATAACAGCCTCGCCTGTTAGCGCATGGGCGGCCGTCGATGACGCCTAACGAAAGGTGAACGCCAAGAGGTGTGATTAATAACGGGTTCTGGCGCGAAAATCCATCACTTGACGAGAATTCTACTCGAACCGACGTAACTACAGTTGACGCTAATTAATTAGAGTAAACACGCGAGGCTATTACAATTTACAGACCTATTCCTGTACATATCTATTTTACCTTAATTTTGTACCGGAAAAAAAAATCACTCGTAATTCCATTTTATCATCAGCTTTAACAGTAAATCTAAAGCAAAAGAAATAATCCACTGATTCTCATTCAGTGCACGCTCTGGCAAAATTATACGCGAACCACAAAAAAAGGGCCAAAACAATGGACTTTCTTCCCCCACCCTTTAAGGCCTTAATCAAGACCCTGCCCCAAATTCGCCCACAAATTGCATCCAATTGTTCACTTTTTACCGCGAGGCGTGTTTGTGGGGTGTGTAAAAAGAATTATCTGTCGGACCAACGGTTGAGCGCATCTGATCTAACGCATCTATTGAAGAGTATTGGCGTGAAAGCAGCGACGAATGGGTATAATTGGGTATATTTAATTTTGACCGAAGGTTGCGTACCGCTGCCGGTCGAGCCCGCGCGTAATTTCACATATTATAATTAAAGCCTGCATATTAAGCGGCTGGAGTAAATTGTTTCTTTGTTCAAAACTTATTTGTAAGTCGACTTCATAAATACTGCTTTATAATTAGCCATATTTAGGTGCGAAACGTCAAATTAACACTTCGTGTAAACGGAAATCCCCCTTACTTTATCTTTACGTGTCGCTGAACTGTTTTCGTATTTCAGGAAAATGTTTCAATTTATAAATAACAACTTAATTGTAATAAGGGTATTTTTAGTGTTTCAATACAGAAGTCCTGTGGGGATATCTTATTTATTTTTTAAATTGGCCTATCATTTGACATTATTTATTTAATTATAAATCAGATAAAAAATATTTAATATTAAGAAATATTACACTTTTAATATCTTTTTATTTCATCGATATAAGTAATAGTACTTACTACTTATTTCACTTATTTATATTTCACTAACGCCCGCCCCGGCTTCGTACAGGTTCAATGTATAAACAATGTAGATCTATTGAAATAGGTTTCCAAATTCCACATAATTTGTATAATTTTTTTAAACATTAAAATGAGTATATAAAGCTATCTGTATATTAAAAAATACCATCGTTGACTTTTTTAGAATGCTAAAAAGAACCTTAAAAAATGTATTATAGATTGTTTTATTATTTTTCAGCATTTCCAATGAATGCTCTCAGTCTACTTGATTTCTATCGACATCTTGAACAATTATCGTCATATTTAAATAAATTAACATTAATAATATTAATTTATATGTATAAATCTTCCTCTTGAACCACTCTACCTATTGATAGAAATCTCATATATTATGTAGAGATAAATATATAGCAATTTCAAAAAGAAGGAATTTCTCAGTTCGCCTTAATTTTTAATCATTATTTTGAGTTCTATGATATTTTTTATCCTACAAAGAAAAACTACGCTCTTTGTTGTCTCTTTCATGTTTGTATCCAGACTTTTTTAGTATAACAATAGATTTTTTTATTATTTTTATGCAATTCAGCACAGCAAACAAGCTGATGACCCCTCTTGTGGAAAACGATAACTGTCACCTATAGACACGGCACCATAGACATAACAGAATACACTGTGATGCCAATGGTACCTCTCATTCGTTGACTAAAGTGATGTCACAGTATTTTGTAATTTCAGTAATATATGTTATTTTCTATATGGATAATATTTATTTAGTTGGTTTTCTACTTCGAATTGCACTTTCTTGTTCAAAAGTTGTTTAGTTTCATGAATACTAGCCCTTAGTTTCACTATCACTATCCATAGTATCACTATCCATTATGACTGTTTGATGCTTTTTCTTGTGGCATTTAAAAAAATACGGCTCTTTTGTTAACAAAGTACCTTCGTATCTGTCTAAGATTAGTTATTTGCGGTTTTCTCGCTTGTGCCCCTTTTTTTATGTCGTACTCTTTTATTATATTTGCAAAGCCGATTATTTTTTTAAACGGGTTAATTTTTTTACCACTCTTGCGAATGTATAGGACAAAGAATGTTCAACAAAACGCCATCTGTGTAGATAGTGGTTAGATATATTTTATAAGCATCGAATCCACTTGAAATAAAATGTTCCTTTTTATTTTTTTCGAGTGTATGAAGTATGATGAGAATACCAAATTTTTGTACGAATTTTTTTTTCTATTAAATTTTTTTATAGAAAGATATTGGCGTACTTCTATCACGATGGATAGACAGCTTGGTAAAGACATAGTATAATAGTGTGTATCGATAAAATTTTATGAAAATGTAAACAAACTAGTAACTAACTTGATCATAAGACTGTTGATTTGGAATAGTACAGATATTTCATTTCTCTGATTGCTCAGCAGCCAGATATTAATATATTTAGTGATAAATTAGATAGATTTTCTAAATGTTGTTTAAAATTTTTAAGTTTATAAAATAATACTCTAATAGGTCGACCTCCCTATGGTTCCCCCTGGAAATCATTGTGCTGAATTCCAAGGCTAACTGACCTGCCTTTTCATTCTTCTTACCTTTTTTTTTATACAACTTCGAATAGCAATAAAAGCTGACGGCCCACCTGATGGAAAGTGGTAACCGTCGCCTATAGACATGAGCAGTACCATGGACATAACAGAGTATACTGTTTCGCCCGTGATACCCCCCATGCGTTGCCATTCCTGAGGACTCAGGTGCTATTCCTCCGTACCCAGTAAATTCACGCCATATCCCATCCTTCAAACCGAAACACAGCCATGCAAACACAGCTGCTTCACGGTGCTTCATCCCTCACTGATGCCCCGCCAGTATAACCGTTAACACAGGCGGGGTGACCATTTCTTTATCATCCATTAAAAAAAACCTCCGATAGGAGTGGAACTCGAGGAAAATGAAGCAATCTAAAGATTTATTGTTATAAGAACTAATGTACCGCCTACATTATGTTGAGTATACACAACGACACGAGTTTATTTATATCGTTTCGGTTTACAAAGAGTCTATTTTAGTTTTCTCTTTGTACCGTGACCTTTAAAGTAATGTAGGCAAGTATCTACTAGCGTCCCCGAATTATGTGAATTTAGGTAAATATTTATAATAAATAACGGAGTTATGAGGTAATAAACATAAAAAAATACAACCTATTTCTTTTTATTATCATATTAGCCGTTTTATGTCCACTGATAAACTCCCCCAGTGCGGGAGGTCGTCCTGCAGTGCGGATGTCCGTACGGGGTCGCCACTTAAGATCCTTTTTTCCCCATCGGTTGTCGGTTCTACGAGCTATCTGATCAGCCCGTTAGCACTTTAGCTCGCTTATCTTTCAAGCTATGTCGGTCACTGTGGTTCTTTTGCGGATATCCTTATTTCAGATACTGTCACGCAAAGAAATTCCAAGCATAGCCGGGCTATGGAAAATCATAGCCCGCTGAGTAAAATGAAGCTTTTGTATACGGGCAACCGTGTAGGACCATGTTTTGGTTCCGTAAGTCATCACAAATGATGATAAGTTAGGATAAAGTTAGTTGACTATTGTAACGAATTCACCAAAAAGTATGTATGTATTTTTATGAGGGCCTGTGTGGAGGTCGATCTTACAGACTAAATTTTTAACAATGCGCCTATTAGCAAATGGCACACGCACAAAAGAAATATTGTACTCGGCTTTATGTATATCTATGTATATATGTTGTAATTTGTGTGCTGTAAGTAATGCAAATAAATTATCTATCTATCTATTAGTCCCGGTTAATATAGTCTATTTAAATATAACTTAATGACATGTTACAACATATCCTTACCCCCTTACATAATCCTTCACCACACTGAGTAAAAGTAATATTGTTCACAGATGAACTGATGCACAGTGCAGCGATGGGGGGTGGTGCTCTCTTTGGGTGCTCCTCGGCTGGTCACAGCGGCATCAACCAGCTCGGTGGTGTGTATGTGAACGGGCGGCCGCTGCCGGACTCCACGCGGCAGAAGATCGTGGAGCTGGCGCACTCGGGGGCCCGGCCGTGCGACATCAGCCGGATACTCCAGGTCTCCAACGGCTGCGTCTCCAAAATACTCGGCAGGTCAGTTGGTTTTAAGTTATTTTATTAGAAAAGCTTTTATTTCCTTTAGCAATAATTGCATGTAGTAATATAATCCCGGTTTATAAACCATAAATTCGTAAGTTTAAATTTTTAAATAGATACCTAATACCTCGTATCTATATTTATAAATTAAGTTTTCACCATCTGATCTATAAAATTTTGGGTAAAAAAAAGTACTGACTTGATATGCATTTTAAAAGCGAGTTTTAAAAAGAGTTTTTTCTATGTGGTAACTGTGGTACTTGGCCAATTCTAATTTTTTTGACTCTTTTCACAATTTACATTTGTATGAATCTTATCCCATTTTAATTTTGTTATAATTAAAGTCGTTATTATTTACGAATATTTTTATTTTTATATTTGTTTTTAGTAATATGCAATTTCATAAAAATATTATTATATTTAACATAAATAGCATTCGTACATAAATTAAGACTAATATTGATTAAAAATAATCAGATAAAGATATTTAGAAGAACGTTACATGATAACACAATACTTAACAGATGTAAGCACCCATAACAATTAAATGGAACATAATTCCATGAACAGTGCGAGTGTTAAATTATTTAGCACAAAACCCATTGTGGCGTTAACAAAAGTCGAAGGATCGATTATGTCCAACTATAACAAGATGGGGTCAAAATCTTGCGACACGCGTTAACAAATTGATCGAATTCCCATAATACTGCAAGGGACCGCACAATGCTTCCGCGACGCTCCCGCCGTGGACAAAAATTAAATGAATATTTCAATGACTTAATCAATACAATGCAAGTTTGCATTCCCATAGTGGATTTTTGTGTTGTATTGTTTTTGTTGAATGGTAGACGTGTGCACCACGGGGCGACTAGGTGGGAATCGACATCGGGTGCCCAATGGCGTAGGGTGCCACGCTTTAATTTCGTAGGAAATTTTATCGTTTGATTGCGATTTTATCTGGAGATCACGGAGGATTCCAGCCCTCGCCCGCCCCGGCAGTCTCAAGTGCTTATTGAAATGGCAGTATTCGATTGTTTTCGTTAATCGAAATAAACTGACAAGTGTTAAAACATTTTTGCACTCCCAATGAGAAGATTACGAACTAAGATTTTAAGAGTCAAATATAAAATTTTACTCTTTAAATAAAAGTGATTAATAGATTAAAATTGTTTTTACCAACTTTGAGTATGTTAAAAGATAGCTCATAAGATGCTATTAGATTTGTTTAAATAAGTACAATAGTAGTTTCATAAATTTCTTTTTATATGATGCAACTTAGTCTGGGTTTTTAACTTACTTCAAGTTGATAGAAATACTCAAATTTCTTGTAATTTCATATGCTATCATCGTCAATTCTGAACTAATTCATATTTTTTCAATCGATATTGCAATTTTGCCAATAGTTTTTACTCCCACATTAGTCGAATGTTGTCACGAAAAAGGAGCTATAAAAACCAATATAATACAAGTGAATTAATTGCGTTTAAAAGTATATCTAAAGTACGTAGTTTGACTAACAATGCTTGCTTCATTTTTTATGGCAAGCCATTAAAAGAGAGTCAATGGGAACAAAAGTCAAAAGTCAATTTGGGACAATAAAAAATGTAAAAGACGTCAATCAAAGGAACTAGGTCTATTTTAATGTAGGGTGTTCCTTTCAGGGCTGTCCCACGACCGCCCCTAAATAAAAATCAAAATAAAACATTATTTTCTAGTAATTGGCACCCCTACTGCGGGAGACTGCTTGACGCCACTTCAAGAGGATCTTATAGGAAAATATATTTTGCTTTACCAACCCCATAGTAGGCCCTCGGGGCTATGTTATTATTTTGTATTGTAACGTTTGTTAACATGTTTATGAAACAAGTGCAATTTTAAGAGGATAAATTTGTTAGTATTAATGGAGAAACTATTAAGAACTTGCACATGTTAAAGTTTCTTTTTCATTTATTTGTCAAAGAAGTAAATACATTTGACATCATATATAATATAAATATTGGGACAACATTAGATATTGTTCCTTACTTTTATATTTCCAAGGGAGTATAAATAAAAATTAACTTAATTGTAACCTTGAACTGTTAAAGAGGGCAGAGATTATTGTTTGCAAATTTCATTTTAAATGTCTTAAATTGTATATATATACTTCTGAGGATTACGATATTATGTTTCTTTTGTTAAATATTGCTGATAATTGTATAAAAATATGGAATGTTATGCTAAAAGCGATATATATAAAAGTATTGTAAGTACTAAATAAGTAACTTAGAAATATTATTTTTTAAAAAACAAATAAAAATTAGCAGAAATACGCACCCAATTTTGTCTTCACGATACAGTAAAAATATACTTATACTACATATGTATTCAATTACATCAATTCGCCTAAACCACGACTGCAAGTGCTACTGACGTATTTTTCCCACACACCCTTCCCTGGACATTCTTATCGTGCCAATTACGATAGCGATGGGGTTTATGCAGTGTTCCTTAGGGCTCACAGAAAGGGCAAGCATGGCAGGACTCCTAATTAGGGACGACTCCCGCTGTTCCGCTTGTGTTGTTCTTGATTTCGTTTTTTAACTGTTTGGGTAAAATTCCAAAATAATATTTTGAGTGTCAAAATAGGTATGGTTCTGCTACCGGGCGTGTCAATACAAAAAAAATCATATTTTCTGAATTGGGCGGATTGTGATTATATTATTTGATGCCAAGTTATGTCTTTTTTTTGAGTAAAATAAAAAAAAAACTCTTTTGCAAACATCTTACTTGTTTGCACTTACAAGTTTTTTCAATAGTCGAGTGAAACTATATATTCCTTGTCTTACTATCTTATTAATATAATAAAATATTAACGAGCCGATATCTGTACGTAGGAGATAATTAATAAAAATTAATATGACGGGTCTTAATAGGAATAATAGATGTCATAACAATAATTTTAATTAACATTTTATTAATAAAATTTTATTGTATCTATATAAATATTTTAATAATTTGATGTTAATGATGGCAATTTAATTCAATCGTTTATTATAAAAAAGTCAATATTTTTTAATTTTCTATTTTTACGTTGATGAATGTCTTTTTTTTAAATTGATATATAACCATTTTATGGCTAAAACAAACCGAAATAATATCATAAAAAAAAACTAATTTGTAACGTAGTTACATCGAAATAAGTACTTCAAAAACAATTTCTGATTTAGCCCGAGAAAATTGGTTTATCTACATCCATATATCTGGCCCCCTAGCGTTACGATATCGTGCTAAATTTGCCAGTTAAGTTGACTGATAACCACTAGGTTGCTTTTATCTGCCGGTTACTAACCGAGTAATGAATGGGAAACAGAAATTAACGACGGCAACCACAGCTGGAATTGCATTGACGGCAATGAACAACTGATTTCGATCAATTTATTATTGTTAGATGTTATGATTGTTTGATATTGCAATTGTTGGAACATTTATATCGATTTAACGTTACTAAATGTTATTGTATAAAATAGTAGTGGTGCACTTGGTGATATGTTATCATCATCATCGTCATATCAGCCTTTAATTGTCCACTGCTGAACATAAGCCTTGGAGGGTTTGGTCAGTAATGACTACGCTTGGAAGGCGGATTGACAATAGGCTTTGGAGATGTTTTAATAGGGACACTGCTGCCCATCCCTCGCCCTCCCTTAATAGCTTCTTACGATACCCACCAGAAAGGAAGGGGTGACCTATTCTATGCCGAAACCACACAGCAGTTATATATGAGGACATGTAATGTATATTTATTTGACTCTAAATATAATACAGGACGTTAATTAAGGAAATTAATTCCTTATAACTAGTGTTAATATTCATTAATAGAGTCTCAAAAAGAAAACAGTGCATGATATGTACATACCTATTTTTATGTAGTACTATTGGTACAGATACAGGTTGTTTTTTTGTTCGAGAATATTAATAAATTTTTTTGGTGCTTGGTAAAGTAAAAATTATATTTAGGTTTTTTTTTTTTAAATGCACACGTAGGATGTGTACATATTATAGTAAACGATTGAACACGTAAAAAACGTGCTACTATATAAAAATAGTAGGAGTAGTATATTTATAAAGACTTATTTAAAAAGTTTCGTAACATTTTTGACAGCCAGCTGTAGTCGGCTGTCTATGGTCTGTGGAACTCTACAAGTTTGCAACATAATAAGGAAAATCTTCCAATAAACCTATTTTAGTTATGAATAAAGCTCTATTATAAACTTTCAATAGTACAATAACAATTGGACATTTTACCTAAAGAGCTTTTTGAAACTACAATAAGATTTTTTGTGATAAATACTGTAATAAAAAATATCACAAGGACACGACCTATATATAGCAGATGAGGTAATGATTTTCTATGACGCACAAATAAGACGGAAGGTTAAACCGCGTGTAATTTAAAAGGAAAGCACCTGAACAACGTAAAGTTCGTTGACCTCCAAAAGTCTTGAATAAACTCCTACTCAATTAAAAGGCAGTCAGTACACCCTACCACGGGTGCCGTTGTCGAAAATCTACCGCCCAAGGCGAAAACGATTACGAATCGCTAGAGGCGAGCCGGTAGGGCCCTCGACGGTAATAACGATGTAAACGGTTCTCGACAATGCCTAAGTAAATAGAATCGACAGATGACAATGTCGATTTCGATTCGATAGTGTTTATTTGAGGGTTGATCGAGTTTTGTCATTGTTGTATAGTTTTGTAACGGTTTTGCGAGACTTGAAACCTGTAAAGTTATTTTCGTGAGTACTGCGATTAGATTGTTAAGATGTATCATTTCGTCGCTGTATTGAGTGTAGCTGGTAGTAGGCAATTTAAGTTTGATCCTGTGATGTTTTATTTTTAGTTTAGAGATAATTTCAAAATGAACGTTTACACTGCGTATGGTGTATTAACCGATTTTAAAAAACGGAGGTTCTCATTTTGTTTTTATTTTTTTATATTCGTTACCTCCTAACTGTCAGTTGTAAACCCATTTTGAAAAATACTTACAAATTGGTGCTGTAGAAATGTTATCGAAATCGGTTTAGTAGTTTTTATTTTTTACTGGTTTTGCCGCAAATGAAGTTTTTTTTTGGTGCAACATAATCTTAACATATTCTTAAAATACCTTATATATAACTAAATCACAGGCAGTTTGTTAGTCATTGTAATTACTGTCGTTTTAAAGTTATATCTATTTTTTTTTATTTATTTCATAAAAGTGCAATGTGGTTTCAAAGGAATTTTCTCCCGCGAACGCTCAGGCTGTGGAATAAGTTTTCCGCCGTGGTTTTCCCTTGAGACTACTGTATGAGATTTTTCAAAAAGTATACTCTTTTTTTTGAGGTTTTTCAGGGTCGGCAATGCGCACATGACTCCCCTAGTGTTGCAAGCGTCCATAGGCTACAGTGACGGTTTACCATCAGACGGGCAATATACTTACTTATTTGCCATCTTCGTGGTACAAAAAAAGTAAAATGTCGACAATTACTGTAGAATAGAGCGTTCACAATTTGCAACTATTTGTCATTCGACGGCGGTAATGAAGTTATGGCATGGTTAGTTGGGCGTTTCTGTTAGCTCCAACGTCTGGACTGAGCGAAGTACTGGTACAGTTCGCACAGTTATTGAATTCTAATTTTTACTATAATAAATAATCATACTTAGATAAGAAATGGGTGGCAAAAAGTTTGATTTAAAAAAACCAGTTATATTGACTTCTGAACTAATTTTGGTAAAATTCCTACGAAATTAATCTGAAAATATAGTCTTTTCGAATTGACACCCTTCTTTTTGAAGACAGTTGAAAATGTAGCAAATATTCTTTGCAGAAATTTTTATAAATTTGAACCTTAATATTAAGATAGGTAAGGTAGATAATAAACTAGCCGTTTGTCATAATTCTGTACATAATAATACCTCTTAATAGATATGATAATTATTTTCTTTTAAGGGAACACAAGCACAATAGACAAACAAGAACACAAGAAAAATAAACCAATAAGATACTCATTAACATCATCATGAGGTTTACGGCCTATCTTCATCACGACATCATTAACGTTTACAATTGGTCATGCACTAATGTCACCTCGTAAACGAATTATATTAGAATATTTATTAGCCTCCTAATTAATTCATTGATAAAAACAAGTTAGTAAATACGGTAATAATATAGGGTTTTAATTTGAGACTCCCTTGTCTATAATAACATTATAAAGAGGAAAAGGAGAGGGGGGAAAGGGATTGTTAGTAATACTAGGTAGGAGACTGAGAATCCCATTGCTAGCAATATACCCAACCAGGTCGACCTCCTCGCGGTTCCCCTGGAAACTATCATGGTTAATTCCTGATGAATTCATCATGATGAGCTAATTGGCCTGTTTTCATTCTCACCTATCACCCTTCACTGGTGCTCCGCCAGTATATTCCGTTAGTGCAATTGGGGTTGCCATACCATTTTCACCCATCAAAAAAAAAACATTATAAAGAGAGGAAAGGTTTGATTGTTTATTAGCAATATATAAACTCAAGAAGAAGAAGACCTATATAGACAGAATTTTCGACAATAATACGAGTATATATTATTTTATAATTCTGTTTACCCGTGCGAAGCCAGATGGAATCGCTAGTATTGTATAAGTTTATTTGTTCTGTTCTCCTATTCGTTTATTACAGACGCAATAAGTAATATGAAATGTGTGTTAATTTTTTTTATACAACTTAGAATGGCAAACAAGTTGACGGCCCACTTGATGAAAAGTGGTAACCGTCGCCTATAGACATGAGTAATAACATGGACATAACAGAGTATACTGTTTCGCCCATAATACCCCCCACCCCCTCAGGTGTTATTCCTCCGTACCCAGTAAATTCACGCCATATCCCACCCTTCAAACCGAAACACAGCCATGCAAACACAACTGCTTCACGGTTGAAACACGAATGGGAAAGAGACAGAGACAAATATAAAATATATGAAAATAAGTAATAATCTATTACCCTAAATCATAAACTTTTAGAAATATAAGCTTCATACATCAATAAATATATCTATAGCCTTGATGGATTTATGACTTTTTTGTAGCTATTTTTTTTACAAAAACCCTTCACTGTACCGACTAAAGATTTTTATAAAATTATCTTTCCGAGACCCTGAATGTATTACCACATTGATACAAGAGTTATCAATATGTCGTTCCTAATATCGACACATGTCTATCTCTCAACAATAGATTCGCGTCGAGTAAGCACATCCTGTATCCAACCCGAGATACTGGCGATTGCGTATAAATGTACTAATTCAACTTTATTAGCTTCATATTAAAGCATAATTTCCTATAAATTGTCGCTGTTTGAACTGCGAATTTAATTTGGCTTTGTATTTATATATTTGTATGTGTACTTGAATCTAAGGGGATAGTTTAGGGATTACATTTGTAATTGTAGTTTAATGCTTTTTAAGTAGAACGGTATAGGCAGTTGGAATAATTCAATGTGAAGTAATACTAAAGCGAACTTCGTTACTGAATTTGCAAACAAAACCTAATTAGTTGATTTATCATCATCATCATCATACCAGCCATAACCTGTCCACTGCTGAACATAGATCTCTCTGTAGTGGTGAGTTTTGCTAATAGTTGCCAAGGTTGACAAATGGGTTGGCAACCGCAGTTAAGCTTTGATGATATTTAAAGAGGAACGCTACTGCCCATCGCTCGACCATTCAGTTCCCTTAGTTGCCTCATACGACTTTCACAGGATTAGAAAAAATATGATATATATTTATATTATATATTGGGTTATAAAAGGTAATTAGTAGACTATTCTTTATTAAACAAGACTTTAAATTTTTCAAACAGAAAATTCAAAATTTGAATATAATGATATATTTTTTGGAACTGACACTCTTACACCTTTATTTGTAAAAATGTCAAAACCCCCATACAACCTAAAAAATAGGTTCGTAGGAGGTTTTATATTTATAAATACCCTTATTAATAAATATTTTTTTAATTAATATATAAATATAATATATACCTACGAGTGTATAAAGAGTATAAGTTAAAATCCGTTTACAATTTATTAAACTTATCTATTCCAATTTAGTGTATACATACTTAATCAAATGTTGAAAATTACAAATTTACTATCCATTTAGTTTAGGGTTACCCCTTTGTAAATTTTAAAGAATTAAATGACTAAAAAAAAATTTTATGAACTTGCTTTTGTTTTTATTAGATATTTAAACTAGCATTTACTTGCAACTTCGTCTGCATAATATTAATAATAAAAAGCCTATGTCCTTCTCCGTCCCATATACCAAATTTCATACTAATTTGTTAATTCGTTAAGACACTAAGAAGTAGGTAACAAACATGCTTTCATATTTATAATGTTAATAAAGATTATATTGTATTGATTTTGTCTATATTGTGTAAATACGATCCCACCGTTTTCCATAATCCAAACTAAGTTCAGCTTCACGCGCAGGTATTACGAGACGGGGTCAATCAAGCCTCGTGCCATTGGCGGCTCAAAACCGCGAGTGGCCACCACGCCCGTTGTCCAGAAGATAGCGGACTACAAGCGAGAGTGCCCTTCGATCTTCGCATGGGAGATCAGAGATCGTCTGCTCAGCGAAAACGTGTGCAATAACGACAATATACCTAGTGTAAGTACTCTTTTAATATTTTTTTCCAAATTTTCGCTGCTCCGGCCCATTGTGTGCAATTAAAAATTATATTTGTTGGTGTTTTCTCTGATATATAATTATTGAATAAAAGGTATATTCTTTATACTTAGTTAAATAAACGTGCATGTTCATTTTTTTTTCAAATAACAAAATTCTTACTTTGACACATCCATAAGGAATGAATGCAAGCATACAAAATGTAAGAAAATGTCTATACGCTCATTCCAAATGTCAAAACACTCTCATGTATTTGACACGACAAATTTAATTAGATTCAACAAACATATGCCCCAGCGCCCATTGTGACGCCCTCAAAATAAGCTGGACAAAATCCAGTGTCAATTCTTCTCTTTTAATCCAATTTTGCAATATCGAAAATTTCGCTTTAGATACGACCATATGTTGCGGGTCCGACGCGGGTCTATTGTCCGACTAGGGATCTTTTCAAGACGGACCGTGCTTAACATAATGCAAAGAGTCTATTCTACGAACGTTATTGATGACGGTTTATAAAATTTTAGCTTAGAATGTTTGATGGTGCCGTTTTATTGCGTTTTTGTCGTGTCCCATACAAATAATTATCTATTATAGAATTTGGAGAGTTCATAAATTTTCTTTCAATTTCATTGTAATGCGTACATTGCTAATAAACTGTCAAAACGTACGCGATTTGAATAAAAAAAAAAACTAAGCCTACATTTACAATAGTTTTCAATACTATTTGAGATCTACAGATAACTTTCATAATTGCATAGCATCGTACCACTTTCGTGTACAAGAGCCATGACGAGCTACATCCTACAACATTCCGTCCCGCAATTAACGAGGCCGCAAAAAATGAATAAAACCACGATCCCTACAAAAATATCATGCACAAGATATTAAATAAAGCTGTGTGCGAAGTGACACGGACAGTAATCGAACCAGACGTACGCAGCGACATCTGCCCGGCCAATGAAGGCAAAAAATAACAAAGCGATGTATCTATATATATTCTTTCATTGACGAGACCAATTTTTCTGTTAATAATGTCACAACTCTAAAATCGAGTTTTTGTGATTTTGTTATCGTGCGGCATTATGTAAACACTCAGTGACACAATAGATGCCGCGGGGTGCTCACAAAAAGTTTTTATACTTCAAGTGTTGAAACTATTGGTTTTGCGGAAATGTTACTACTTTGTACAAATAGGGATAATGCAATGTTTATTAAAAACTTTTTATTAGTATACTAATTAGCTTCTAATAAACATTTACCTATCATTATGTTACAATAAACAACAATTTTGCTCTCGTTACATTATCAATTAGGGACTATGGGCAGAATATTAAAATTAGCAATGCGAATTTTAATCTGCACATTTTGCGATTTAGAACAGATTTTTTATAATTTCGTTTTCAATCAAAGAGGGCACTACGTTTGTGTAGGTCCCATACCTACTAATTATCTCAAGAGATGATTCGATTATTGATTTGATGGTTTGTGGAATAAAATTTTAAATTATCACGTTATCGAATAATGAAAGCAAAAAATACAATAAAAAATATTATAACTTAAAATATTGATATAGTATTTTTATAAAGTCAACTAAAAAGTGCAAATAAGCAAATTAAGAAATTAAAAAGAATTTTAATAGTTATATTATTGTAATAATTATTTTAATAATTATGTAAATCTTCATTTTTAGTAGTGCATAGTGTTCAATATAGATATTTAATTTGATATTTATATTTTACACTTATATAAATCAAAATGTCACTATTAGGTACTTTTTTATCATCAATGTTATTTTCCGATAAACACAGAATTTCCATAAGCAGTTTAGTATAGAACTATATTTAGTTATGGACAGTAGATAAAAACACCTATATCTAATCATGAAATACCTCTAGGTACTACATACGCCATGTTCCCCCGTGTAACGAGAGGACAAAATCGAAATACCCCTAGAAGATTCGGCGCCAAAGGGGCTATTTTTATGACTGTCATACCTACGCATTCGGCCCACTGGGCAAATAGGTGAGCGGAACAAGGGATACACTTACACATGTGTAAGAATGAGAGGGGTGTTTATCGTGCGTTGCGTCGCCTAGTCATAACGGTCGAATGGGCGTGATGTTTCTTACCAACTGAAAGCGGACAAAAATACGTGGAACAATCGATTATTGCTGGGAAGCAGAATAGCGTAAAAGACTGTCTGCATATTACGGTATGGAAATTTAAAGTGTTCTGCTATATTAAATATTGTATACCAAAAACATACGCAACGTTATAGTACATAGTTATACTTTAATACATGTACCTATTTATTTAATTAAGTTTAAAAATTTTACTGTCAAACTTCACACTAGTTATTTAACTAAATATTAATATATTTACCTTTTTTTGTTTTTATTTCCTTATTCAATATCGACTATAAAGTTCAACATTATACATAATATTTCTGCTAGAGATATCAGAAAAAAATTTAATATTTTTGAAGTTTTTCTTTCTTTTAACTACAGGTTCATATACATTAATATATATTTATTTGATTCAAATAAGCATAGCTTTAACAACATATAGAATAGAATTACACAAATTAATAATCTATCGACTAATCAATTTTGGAAAGAAACTTAGTACAAGTGAAGGAAACACACAAAAAGAAACAATACTATTGAAAATGATAGCAAACATAACAAATTTAGAAAAACTAAATCATAATGAAATTAATTAACCTTATTAGTGTGGATACAATATATCCACACTACATCAAATAAGATTTTGAATATTTAAGTACCTACATATTCAAAACAATAACTACCTTTATATAACTTTTTTAAACACGGTATGATACAATATTGATTAATTTGTTGTGAAAATGTACGGTCTTGATTATACTGTGACAACTAATCTGTGTCGTGTGGCATGAAAATAAATATCATACTATATTTAATAATTTAAGATTGTGTTCCATAAAAAAAGACTACTTTAATTGTTGCATAACAAATTATTTTGATTTAAAAATAAATTACTGAACCGATTTAGATAAAAATTTTATGGGGCCAATCTTATAATACATAATATCTTTTTATCTTATAATCTTCTAATAATTTAACTTTTATAATAAATCTTATAACCAATAAGTATATCTTTTCACATAAAAAAAAAATCCAAATAGATTATTAGTACCTATTGCAACTAATAACATTATGAGGTAAATGTAAAAAAAAAATACAACCGAATTGAATCTCTTTCTTTTTGAAGTCATTTGAAAATACTTACGCCTCTCTTCTCTTCGTTCCTTATACTATAATTCCACGTTTACGCGTGAATAGTCAGAATATTTGTTGTCGCTTTCACACCTACGAGCAACACGTAAAGATCTGCATTGTGTTGTCTCGCTTGTTTTGTCCGACAGATTAACGTCAACTGTTTATGATGGCATAGGAATTGACGGTCTTAACTGTATGGATATTTATGGTTATATCGATTAGTTAAGTAACGTCAGCATTTGAAAACAAACCAATAGGTTCCTTAAATATAACACCAATCCTGAATAAAGTACAAGTAAAGATAGAGAACGGTAACCGGTAGAGTATGCTAGCAGCATCAAGTCTGCCTTTTGTGTCTTATTTTCTTTTGGTCAATAAAGTTATTTAAATAAATAAATTATTCTTGATAGTATATGTTGAATTGTCCCATGTAAATAGTTACAAAATAATTTCAAGTTTTAAATCGCAAGATACTGTATCAAAAATCACCAATCAACAGTTGCAGACTCAAACACCGTTAAACACGATTGGAGACACCTAATTTAAATTTAGAATTCATGAGTTCGATCGAGCGAGCGAGGCGGCGTGCACAGTGGGCCACCGAGCAACTTAATACCGCCAAAATGCTACTGAGAAGCATTTTAGGGGCTTCGTACACGTAATATAGCGTGTATTATGTATCTTTATGTAGAGACGTTTCGTTTTCATTTACACGCAGGTAGGATGTAATCGGAGATAGGTTTTTAATACTAATCAGTGTATCGATTATCGAAAAATTACTAACTGAGTATTTTATACAGATATAACTGTAATTAAAAGTATTTTTTTTAAATAGGTATAGAGATTATTTAGATATGTTAGTGATTTTCTAATTCTTTCTACAGATTATATTAACCATCACAATTTATGTTAACCGTTCTTATACAAACAAATAATATAAAGCTTGTTCTCTCATTACGAAGTACGAGTAGGTACATGGTATAAATATAAAACAACCACTTCAATCTAAATCACCGACAACAATTTAACAACCATAATGAACTCAGTGAAAGCTCCATGAGCGAACTATCCAATCTCAGCGCCCTCGGAGAATTGCAAAAAATCTTCCCCCTAACCAAAAACGAACCCCAGCCTGAAACCGCTTTTCACCGGGGAATCAACCCTGGGTCTCCGCGGGTTAAGCGCGTACGTTAAAATGTTTATAGATAATACCAATGTAGGTAATAGTAATTCTAATTCGGAGCGGGGCGGCGTCCCCTTAGTGAAACTGACGGAATTTGTATTCATCGTAATGGCTTTTGTCCGGATATCTCATACGTATCGGTTTGATGTTGAATAGCCATGGAAAAGTGTATAGAAATGGCTTAATAGTGCAGGGGGTTTTCATTGAGGTGCCTCTTGAAGAAATTTCGCTGTGATCTTTTTTGACCAGATCATTTGGATAATTACCACTGGGCTCGATAAGGTTACTTGTATCTACCTTGTGGGTGGGACATTTTATATACAATTAGTGAAATTACTTTAAAATACATATATATATATATATATATATATATATATATATATATATATATATATATATATATATATATATATATATATATATATATATATATATATATATATATATATATATATATATATAATATAGAACAAGATAAAAATATTATTGTATATAATAATATAAACCTATATAAAAATCATTTGTCTTAAGTGACTATC